TTATACCCAAAAGGTCAACACCTGGAAACAATATTATTCAATCCTGTGTACTGGAACAAAATTGAACAAAACATCATATGGTTCTATGACAATTATTTGAGTGAATGAACAAACACATCAAATCACTTGTAAAAACAAGGTATCTTAAATTAGGCTGAAATAATCATGTTTGCTATTGTTTGAAAAGTGTTATTCTGCACTATGTAACCAAAAATATTTCATACTTTTATATTTTATACTCTAATGGTTTACAAAGTTTACAGAAATATATTGAGAAGGCAATTCAGTGATTGAAGTATTCTGTGTATACATGTACATTGGAACAAAACAATAGCAAAGATTATTATACAGTGATTCGTGCGCAATAATAATATTTTTTGATAATTGCAATAGCCCGACCATGTTTTTTAATATGTTAATATTCTAACATTCCATCACAAACATTTCGGTAATACAGTAGTGAATAAATAAGTACTTCCTACAATGAATTAGTGTTCTTGCTTCAATAGGAAATATACATAAAAGCAGTATATTATATAAAACTTTGTGGTGCTTACAGAATTATGGGTTCATTGTAAGAACTCAATCCATAGACAACTAATCAATTGACAGTAGGACTTAATATTTATTCTTTTGCTAAGGGTTTATACAGATTCATAATGCTGCACAAATAAGTACAATGTCATCTATGTTACCAAGTAATGATATTGGCAGTTCATGCTCTATCAATCTAAATGTTCTCAGTCGCCTGATTGCTTGCTCAACATATATTCGCAGATTTGCAATTTCTTTTGTCTTTGCAACTTCTGCTTTAGTGAATTGTTCTTGTCCACGCTTGCCTGGAGGTATATGCAGTCTACAGTTTCTAATCAGTAGGTCTTCAGTTATAGTAAAACCCCTGTCTGCCATTACCTCATCACGTCGTTCAAGAATATCATAAAACGATTCCCTGGTTAAATGGACATCAGATGTCCTTCCTCCCCAAGCTAAGAAATTGAAATGACCAGTAGGTGTAATAGATACTAGAAGCTTGGTAGTACTGTGGTGCTTGTAGTCCGACCATGTAGCTGCTTTTATAGTAGGGTCACTGGGTGTTTCAATAAAGATTTCGGTGCAATCATTTATATGGCGTAGATTGTAGTATCCAGGCTTTTGGAATTTTTCTGGTAAAGTTTTCTTAAAGACTGCAATGGAGGGGTTGTAGACTAAGCATGCGAGTTCCCTTGCTAAAACTTTCACCCAGGTTGTGAAGGCATGCGAGATAGTTGTAGGCGATGCTCCAAATCTTTGTGCCAAATCAGCATTTGTGGAGCCTAGACGAAGTTTCATAAGAGCCATTAGAAACTCATCTTTATCTAAAAGAGCTCTTTTTGGACCAAATTTCGTAGGATTTTTTTTTTAATTTCTGCCTTTTTTGTCGACCTTGCCGGTCCACTCCAATGATTAACTTTCTTGACGTTTGTATTAATCAGTTCAAATAGCTTATGAAATGCTGCTAACGTAGGTATGCCTGTAAGCATGCGAATAGTTTCATCAGTTTTTAAGTCTGTACTTTTGAGTCCCTTGTCTTGCCTTCAGCTTGATTCGATTTTCCAGTTCAGATACCTTTTCTCTTAGGCGAATTATTTCTTTATCTTTCTTAATTCTTTCGAGAAGACACTTCTCCTCGATGCAAAAATCAGGGTTTAAATGTTTGATTCTTACCGGCATCCACTCTTATTGAGAAAACCCTTTGGGATACTCAAATGAGCCTCATTCTATTGCAAGCAGGTCGAAAATCCATTGATGTTCAATCCTTTTCTGACATTGCGTGCGAGAGGTGGATTGATAACTTTGTAGTTGATGTTGCCATTGCCAAATTTGCAGAAGAGGCAAAAGCTGATGGTAAGATTCACTCTTGAAATTTGTCGGACTTGGACCTTAAAGGAGTTTCTGTTGTCTTTCCAAATGAACTATGTGACTGGTTGAAGTCTGACAGTGAAGAATTTATAGAGAAAAATAAGGGAAACAGCAGATGTTCAGAATCCTGTTGACGATCTCCTCATTATAATTCCTGTTCATATGACAAATCATTGGGGCCTGGTAGTCGTTGATGTAGTCAGTAGTAAAATCATGTTTGACGATGGATAATGTCAGGAAAGTTTTGAATATCCTTTCTCAAACCCATTTGGCTCCATTCTTTAAAAGTCAATTCTGGAAARAGTGCTCCACATTTGAGAGATTTGGGATGCCGTCACAAGTAGGTCTTGATTCCATTGGTTCAGGAAGCTGTGGCATTGGCGTAATCCTTGCTGCCAAAGAGTTCCTATTTAAAGGACCCAGTGCTGCTCACAACATGACATGGCAATATAACAATATGCACATGCATCGAATGCAGTTAATGCTAAGAATCTTAGATTGGATATAATAAATAATTCATGTTATTGCTCTTTACTTGATTACTGGCACTATGTTTACAATAATCTGGTGTTCAAAAGCTATATATAATCCACTAATAATAAATAATATCCAGCTACTCTTAAGGTTACAGTAACAGAAGTTATAGGTGTCTCGCCCGTGAATCTGTTCTTGGATGATTATAGTTTAATATATAATAATACATACTACTAATAATATCCAGCTACTCTTAAGGTGTTTCGCCCGAGGGTAGAGTAACAGAAGTTATAGGTGTCTCGCCCATGAATCTGTTCTTGGATGATTATAGTTTAAATATAATATTAATAAATAATATCCAACTACTCTTAAGGTGTTTCGCCCGAGGGTAGAATGAAAACTCTTATATTTTTAAGAGTTAATGTAATGCCATAGTAATAACATGAATTTATTTGTAATTCTTAATGAATAAAGTATAACAATTAGAAGTTTTACATTGAGAGTTTCTTTAAAAATTGTTAATCACTAGCTATTTACAGGKATACTTTGCCTAMATAAAATCTAAGGGTCATTTTTCCAAAACTAGAGCTGTACAAATTTGGCCACCATTGGAATGATCTACGCCCTTGTCCTTCTCCAATTACAATTGAAGAGAGAAACTTTGGCCTTGCTGCTTTTGGCTGCCTTGCCCTCTTCTTAGCTTCCCTCAAAKCTTCTAYTGGGTCACTGTCACTGGTAGTTTGGCGCTCAACCATCTGATAGTTCCCACTAAACGCTGCATCCAGTTTTAACTCTATGATATCCTGCTCTTTGAATAGCTCAATAACGTYATTTYTGTCATATATTCTGTACGAGAACCTTGTAGATTCCTTTACAAATATAGGCTGCTTAAGATGCCTCATTTCACGAGCACTGTATACTCCTACTGGCTGCATTTTCCATAATATATGTTGGAAAAAAACTTTTGGCGCTTGGAAGACATCAAGTTTCACCCAGCGACCTACAAMATGGAAGCAAAGGCCATTTAATCCTTCAAGCTCAATTKTYCTTTGACAAAACAATTCAGTTTGGCTAATCAGATMTTGTCACGACCTWTTTGCRTCTTYAAATAAGTCATTTGAGTATCATTTTTATTGTATGATACTATCTATATATACTAAAAAAGTCAATTTTCCTGSGAAATAGAAACGTTTTGATCACAACGATACGRTCTTAGTATRTYTTAGTCAACATTTTATACGCAYTACTCATATGTGACATACAAATGATTTGGATATAACAAGAAAAAGTAAGAAAAAAATGATTGTCATAGCTTTGATTATAATATCGTGATTCAGTTCTTACCTTCCATTTGKGGATGATGGGAGCTATTGATTCTTTCCACAATACTACAAGATAGAAATAACAGGTAACGTTCATATTCTTGTTGGGAGTCAAGTTTTGCCAATTTAGGTATATTAACTAATTGAGAGTCTGCATCAATAAATGTTACAGGTCGTAAATCATTACGGCCATGCTTTGACAAAAGATGCTTCGCTAGTGCACGAGTGTTGAGGGATTTTCTTTGGCACATGTTACAGTGTGTAGAACAAGACATTTTGAAGCTAACTCAGAAGAGTTGTGCTATGCGTTTTTAATTATGCGCAGCGTCTAATTTTTTCGGCCGATTAAAACAAATAAAGCCAGCCAATGGTCAGAAAGTWATATCCGCTCACAACAATAACACCAACTCTTACTTGTTTATAACAATTGTTGTGATAGGAATAGTTTGATAAGAATCTAATTTTTTTTAGCGATGGATGTGGATAAAGTGAAAAAAAAAAACGTATAGAAAGCACACGAAAGAGGAGCGAAAACTTGAAAAAAGCGTTATAGAGAACGTAAAAAAGCGTTAAAACGCTCTATTAAGAATAGCATTGGAATCTAGGCAGAAGTAGAACCTGTAAAGATTTGTGCGGGTCCGTCAGAGGATAAGGTAGGAAATAATTGAAAATTTATATAAAGAAATATTGATAATGATAAAGTTACACTTTATGTTTGTGGGTTTACCTTTATATTAGTGTTGGAAACCTGTGCAAGGCGTCTTGTTGAAGGTGGAAGGAAGTCCTGTGGAGATGGAGTGAATGCAACGGTAGCAGGCTTGAGTATCTGGGAGCTGCTAGCAGGATCTCTACACACAGGCGACTCACATATTAGTGTCTACTCAGTTTGTCAATTTTGTAACATCATCGAGATGCAATTCTCGTGGCCTAGAATTTTGAACGTAAAATATTTTTCTAATAGGGTCGCGACAACAAAGGTGAAGAGTTGTCATAGCATATCAGAGGCCAGAGGTTGTTTTTTTTTAGCGAGAAATATATCCCCGAAAGATAAAGCTGCCGAAACCGTTACCCGTTCGCGCGACCACGTGTTCAAAAGCCAACGTTCTCTTGCAATACCCAAATTAGAAGGGAAGATTTAACAGAGCAAACCCCTGATACTTCTATTGGTGGTGGAAGTTACGGAGCTTGTTTCAAAAGTTTTTACCGTGGTAACATACCTGTTGTTGTTAAGCAGTTAAAGAACACTGTTCATCACAGCCAAGCAATGAATGAAGCCCGGGCAATGGTATCGATACAGGGAAAATAGCATCACCCGTCACTACCTTTATTACCAAAATTCGGTCCTTTTTAATTGTTTCGCAGTTTCCCGGCGACAACAATGGTACCTATACCTTAGGATTGGCAGTCAAAGAATCCCTTATTAAGTCATCAGATCATTGGTTGTCAGTTCTCATAGAACTGAACAAAGCACTTGGCTTTATTCATGCTCAGGGTTGGCTTCACAATGATCTAAAGCACAATAATGTAGTTTTGTACTCCAAAAAGTCAAATGAGTGGAAACCAGTTATAATCGATTTCGGCAATCGAACCCTGAAGAAAGCAACAAGGATAAGGCTTCTGAAGTGTTACGTTTGGGCTACCCTTCTTTATGGATGTGAAACCTGGACTGTTAGCGAGAGTATGGATAAACGACTGATGGCAGCGGAGATGTGGTTCTTACGACGTATGTGGAAGGTTCGCTGGTATGATAAAATCACAAACGAAGAAGTCCTAAGGAGAGCAGAAACGAGAAGATCAATGATTGCCGATATTTACACGAGACAATTGAGCTTCTTAGGCCACGTTCTAAGAAAAGAAGGCCTTGAGGGACTTATGTGCACGGGTAGGATAAATGGAAGGAGGAGTAGGGGTAGACCTAGGAAGATGTATTTGGATTCATTGACGAAGATCACCGGGAAGAAGAAACTTGAGCTGCTGCAAGGTTGCCACGATCGTGCAGCATGGCACAATATGATAGCCAACGCAAGATCTGGCATGGCACAATGATGATGATGAATAGAAGATGCATGACAAAAATAAAACTGAAACCGATTTAAATTAATAGAGATTTTCAGTCACACACTAGGCGTAAAGTTGCTTGTACCCAGGTGCAAAAATTTCCTTCGTGTGTAGACGATAAGCTAAATAGCTCTGAAAAACCTGAGCTCGTCTTYCTGAAAGAAATGCTCAACACATGCTGGCATAAGCCAGCGAGGATGACGCCAAAGCTGTCCAACTGCCTTGAATGTTTTGATATCTTTGAAAATGTTTTCCATTTTTATTCTTCTTTTTGCAATTCGTTTGTTAAAAGTTCTTGCCCTGCGTCTATCTCTGTTATTGAGTAGTCGAAGCTGGTTCGCTCTAACTGGCGTTAACAAGAAACCACCATCAGGATATCCTCTGTCTGCCAGCAACTTTGCATTAGCGGGTAGTGCTCCTATTGGTCCCATGAGTCTAAATGATAAGGCATCGTGCGTGCTACCCAGAAAACCAGACTGCAAAAATCTAATACGCCCTTCATTGTCAATAATCATTTGTGTGTTCATGCAATGGTAATGTCTGTGTACACTGTAATACAGTTGTGAACGTTCCGTAGACGGACGATAAAATTCATGTGGCGAACTATATATTGCACCAACTACATTTGGGAATTCTGGCCAGCTACCCATCATATTATTCCATGCCAGTGGATTAGGCCACACGATTTGATTACGGAAGTACTGCCAAAGAAGTGGTAAAACTCTATGAATAGTTCGAACAACAGACGATGGATCGATGTCGAACCACAGAGACAACAAATCCGAATGGGGATATTTCCTCAGCCAAATCATTACTAACAACACTTGATTTATTAATCCAAGTTTTTGACGACGTTGTCGAATTCGTTGTCCTCCATCCATATTTAGTTGTGACAAGGAAGGCAGAAGATCATTTGCTAGTCTCCAAAAAGAACACGGCGTTTCACCCGTGTTGCGCCAGAATAACCAGGGCTGTCCAGAAATAAGCTTGAACACATCTCGACCACAAAAATTSGAGCCATGGAAATTGGGAAACATTCGTTGTTTCAATGACAAACTTAGAAGAGGAGGCTGGATAGTGGGCAAAAACAATAAAAAAGCCACAACTATCATCAGCACAGCTTGAATTTCTTGAGCATTCATATCTGATGTTAGAGGATTGAAAAGGATGCATGTGATGGTTCATTCATAATCGACAGGAATAAAAAAATACGTGCGAATAAGTATTGTGTTACTTGTAAACTTTAAAACTAGGAAACACAATAGACCGGCATATAGTAAGCGTTGCTGTCAAAGGACGCAGGGACACGTCGTCTCGTGTGAACTTTTTCTGAAATACGCCGCTATCAGAGGAGGTTGATGAAGTGTCACGTGGTCAAATAGACCAATCACAGGGAGACAACTTTCACAAATCGCAAGTTCGACGATCCATAGCATAAGACAAAAGAACCCCTAAAAATAAGAATTCTTAACTTCAGTTGCTTTAAAAATAATCCTCAAAAAGTATAGTGCAAAGATCAAACATGTGAGAGAACGATTAAAGGTAAGCTTAAATTTAAGTTTATTTGCGAGCTTTCACTTTCACGCCTTGACAGTTGAAGTGGATTGTGCCTTGACTTTGCGACATTATATTAGTTGCTTTAATGGATAAATAACAGATATCATAGTACCTATAGCTTCTTTGATATGTCATTAACCGAAAACCCAGGATGGACCCGCATGGACGCGTTTTAGATTTTGAGAAATTCACGATTAAACAAACCCTACTCGATGACTTGAGGTGCGAAATCTGACATACATTCGCATAAGTATAAACCAGCTACAAAAATGCATTTTTGCTRTGAACATGAGACATATGCGGTCTATGTTATCTGATGTAACACCAAGTAATTCGTTGAATAAATGAAAACCTCAAAAACCTATTATTTTTAGAGAAAATGTCGTCAAAACGTACGGTGAAGACCAGCGGTGATACGCCTGGTAAACCGAAGGCGAAAAGAAGTTTAACTAGAGGATCAAGAAAATCTCTCTTCTCACATGAATCAGAAAAGAAAATTCCAAGCTTAGTTCCTGAAACAAATAGTGAGTGGACAACGAAGGAGCTGCAGGGTTTGGTCCAGTATATTGCCCTTTATAAGCCACTGCAAACATCAAAACAATGGCCAACCACCAAGAACAAGGCCTTTTGTTCCAACTGTGCAGAAGCTGTGCAGCAATATTCAAGAAAGTCCATAAGAACTGGTATGTATATGGAAACTTTAAATGAAATCAAAAAGTACATGTGACACGTAATATAAAATATTTTTTCCATGACTTGATATGCATCCATTTCATTCTCAGGTAATGCCTGTCGAGCTAAAGCCTTAAGACTTAAGGATAAATTTTCAACTATAGAAGAAGCCGAAGAAAAGTTGAATATTGACTATTTTGAAAATGAAGGGAAGGAATTAAACAAACAAGTGAAACATTGAAAACACCAAAAGGCTACAAATGTCCAGAAAGCTGCCTTTCTCCTGTATTTGCATGTTCGCCATCTGGAAAAGAGAATCAAAACACTAACGATGTGACAGCTGCAAATGTCATTGAAGGGATTGTGAAAAACAATAACAAACTGACAAAACGACAGAGAGAACAGTTACAAATATTGTTCACTCAGTATGTACAAGGCATAAATGACAACATTCCTTCTAGCTATGTAACATGTAACTTCGTAGGAATTGTTGGCAGGGGAATATCCACACTTCATCACGATGGGAAAGAGAATCTTTTTTACCACCTAGGGAAATGTCTAGAAAAGACAGAAAATGGTTCTACAAGAATGCCATTAGAAAGAATGCCATTTGGACTTATATCTCATAACTTGAAGTTCTTTAGTGTTGATAATGCTGGTACACTAAAGGCTCCAGATGATTACATAGCCTGGATGGAGACAATGTATTCACGTTTTGGCCAATCTTGGGCAGCACTTCATCTTGGTCCCATGTGGTCTTATGAGGAGTCCTCAGTGGAAAATCATGCCAAGGAGTCAGACTGCAATCTGGCAACAATGGCCTTAGAAGAACCGGGCCTATCAACTGTATGCTCAGCTTCACHTGAAACTACAGCTCAACGATGAACACGATTGCATTATCTGCGCATGATCAACATTTCTACCAGGGACTCAGACAGCTCTCGACAAAAATATTCGAACATCTAGCTGCCATATTATCCCCCCACCCCTGTTTCAAAGTTGGTTCTCATCGTGTCAGCCAGGGCTTCTTTTTGAGAATCTCAACTTTGTAACAGGGGAGTGAGGATGTTCACAAACATTTTGTCGAGAGCTGTAGCTTGCATTCCTTACCATTGACAACTTGCAATAATGGGAAATCTGTCTTGGTGACCTCTACACCAGAACCTGTGCAGACCACTTCCAGTAATTCAAGCCAACCCTCGTCAGCTGAAGTAGTAGCAAGGCATAGCTACTCACACCTGTGGTCAAATCCTACAAAACAGCAAATTGATGAATTAAAGGATGGTGATGTGTGTTGGATGCAAAAAAGAAAAGAACATTTCCCACAAGTGAAAGTAAGAAGTGTATCAGAAMTGTTAAACATAGAACTAGACTTGACCGCAGTTAACGGAACAAAGCTTCCATTCATCGGCTGGGCAGAAGTCAGAGTTAGGCTTCCATCGGCGTCCGGCAAAGCTAAGGAAATTCATGTACCCTTTTTGATTACARAAGAACCCTTAAAAAGGGTAGAAGAGCACATCAATATGAGGCCTACAAGACAGCAAGGGCTTTCAGTCCCTAAGTGTTCAACAAAGGTATTAATATTAGGAGATTTTTTTATATAGTATTGTATATGAAAAATGTTTATGATGAGCAAACAACAAACAGTGAATGTGCCAATTATTGCAATCGTGTTTAATTGAGTTTTTTTTATTATCTATCAAAATTGCAGGCAAACGTAAACATTGCAGGACCAAGTGCTATAACAATTCGAAGGAGCATTGCTAACCGTATGTTTACTAAAACAACAGATATCCAGGTATGAGTAGACATATCTTGATACAACCACTTGCAAATGAATTTGACCAATATCATTATATCTTTTCTGGTATTTTCATKTAACTTCTTTTTTTTTCCTCTCTAAATGACATAAAAAATCAAAASAACTCCTTGAAATTATGATCATTTAGGGTGGTTGAAACATATTCTGCAATTCAAAGACAAAAGGTGTCATTTTGAAATATCAGTTCCCCTAAATGTACATTGATATTTTAGTATGGGTTAAATCAGAATTTCTTCAAATGATTTTAGTGCTAGACAAATATAACATAACAAAATATAAAACAAAGTGTGTGTAACTGGTTGTCTTCTAAAAAGGTTTTCCTCTTTCAGAGAAAGGCTCTGAAAAGTGCTCATGAAAGCAACAAAAAGGGGAGGTAGTGGATCAAAGCCGATGCTACAGATGTCAACAAAGACCTGAGGGAAAGTATGAAGAATGTATGGTCTGGAGATATTGACTTTGGTGATGGAATCTTGCAAAAACTGCATGGTGAATACCTCAAGAAATTGAATTCTATCAGAACGATTGGTCTTAAAGATCGCCGTGTCATTGAAAAGATCACTGAAGATTTAAAGAAATTGAAAACCAAACTTGATGATGATGAACTCTTCTTGAATAATGCTTTAGATTAGGTTGCAAAATCCAATGTTCCAGAGCAATCACTGTTTGCACTTGCTTGGGATTTGGATGGCATTGAGAAGTTGTTGCTGCAGAACAAGAAGCTTCATGAAGTAGTGCATAACACATCTGAAAGGCTCGCAAGGCTCACTAATGCTAGCAAAAGAGGAAATCTGGCAAAGGAACTGCGACAACTGAGAGAGGAGTTGGAGACATATACCAAGGGCAGTTATGGAAAGAAAAGAGAGGCTGCCTCACATCTACTAGTTTTCATGATTTCAGATGAGCTTAGAAACTTCAAGCCCTATGCCATTCCAGTCCGTGTTACTACGTACAAACCCATCACAGATGATCAAGTTCAGAATTTAAAGAATGAATTGAATGATGTGATGACAGGCATAGGGATGAAAGTCATAGGTATGCTTGTAAAACAACAATAAGGCAGTGACCATTGATTGATAGCTTCAAATCCTGATGCATCCCATTAAGTCAATGATAAAAATGGATTGCATTTTGTGATAATGTTAACTGTATTTTTTGCAGGATTTGTTACAGATGGAGAGTGGAACAAAGATGAGAGTGGAACGTACTCAAGGAACCAAAAGACCAATTTCCATTATTCATCTAATGATGGATTCCAAAGCTGATGCAAAACACACTTCAGTTTGAATGATTGATCAATATCTAGGTACATTTAATAATAATTATGGTTTCATTCTTATTTTAGGGTCTTATTTAGTTCATCCATTTAATATATTAGAAAAAATTCRCATTTTCAAATATGCTGTTGCTATTCTGAGTTTTGAACTGACTATTACTGATGCATGTTATTTATTATCTAGTAACCAGAAACCCTGCAAGAGCATTAAGAGAACATGATGCAGTTCCTGTGGAGGATGTAGAATGGCTGGCAGAATTCATGGATGATAATAATGTTCCATTTGAGAGGGCAATCCACATATTGAGACGAAAACACTATCCTTTCCAGCATAACCCCCATCCTTGGATTAACGGTATGTGACATTGTTGTGAGTAACCTCAGCACATTACAGGAAGGAACACTTCATATTGCTAAATGTGTGAGAAGTTGTTGAAGAGAAAAGGAGAAACACTTGGTGTAGGTCAAACACTGGGAAGAGTGTTTGTTTTTAGCTTTTAAAGAGTTGTTAACCTGCCCATTACAATATTGCCTGCCAGTGTTCTATGAATGAAGTAATCTTTGTGACCCAAAGTTATCTTTAAATTTTTTATTGACTCTTGTCTTTAACAACAATTAAAGCAAACTTTGAGTGGCTAAAAGAATTGCCGCCAGAACACATGTAGATTGCAAGAGCTGATAAGAGACATTTCTTAACTAGCATTATGTGTATATGTCACATGTTTGGGTATCTTTATATTTCTAGTCATTTTTTGTAGGTTATTATTGCAACCTAAACCAATCAAATCAATAATTATTATTGTGCTTCAGGTAAAGAA